TCCTTAGTTGTGGCACATGGGCTTCTCATTTCAGCGGCCTCTCTCGTGTGGGGCACTGGCTCTAGAACATGGGCTCAGTAGTTGTGGCATATGGCCCAGTTGCCCTGCAGCATGTGAGATCCTCCCGGACCAGGGACCGAACCCATGTACACCGAATTGGCAGGCAGATTCCTCACCATTGAGCAATAAGGGAAGCCCTTGAATTTTTATCTATATTTTTAATTTTCATTTTTTTTAAAAGCTTTTTTTTCCTCTCTGAACACTCTGTTCTTAAAAAAATAACATTCTCTTGTTGTTTTAAGGATTCTGTAGCTCTTGTATCTTTCTAAGAATGTTCATTTTTAAAGTTTTTTTTTAATTCCTGCGTATTTATTGCTGTCTCAACATTCATTGGAGTTTTCTCAGGAAAGTGGCTGTCCTTGGTGGTCTGCTTATGTTTAAGAGTGGAGTACTTAAAAGCTGCTTGAAGTCTCTGAGCTGTAACTGGGGTTTGCAGACTGTGACCTTCACTCTAGCGTGATTGGGCTGAACCATGAACTTGGAGAACTCCCAACAACAGTATCTATAGAACTTTTTTGAAATCTGGTTAGAGTTCCCAGAGAAGACTGGTCTCCTGCCTTGTTGCACATATGTCAGGAGCCAAATGAGGGAAGAGGACTGAGATTTTTAGTAGTCAGTAGGTAAACTTTCACTTGACTAGAATAGCCTTAAACAGAACAGCAGATGCATGTTATAAATCTACTGTCTTTCACCAGGAATCTCAGTTGTTAAATATTTTTCTACATTGTGTGTGTGTTTTACAATTAGAAATGAAGAAATTTCCTAAAGGAGGAAAGAAAACTCTCAAAATTATAAGCTATTGCCTTTTATCTTTTTCCTGCAACCCAAAGGAAGCTCTATTTAACTAATTATAGTAATGATAGTGAAAATAATAGTAGTAGTAAGAATATGGCAGCTACTATTTATTAGGGGCTTGTTAGGTACCACAGACTATACTAGATGTTGTCACCTGTTATCTTATTGTTTGCTTTACACATACAAAACCGAGACTCAGAGGAGTTAAGCAGTTTGTTTAGGTCACATAGCTAGTTCGGTGGTAAGAGTTCATAAGAGATTACAGATCATCCATAAACAAAACTACACTGACTGGTTTAATCAAAGCCCACTGGCTTCCAAAGTCAAATTAATTTGTTTGAGATTTTTGCATTTTAATGATCTAGATGATGGGGTGGGTGGAATGTCTTTCCAGGCATAGAAATCGACTTTTCTATCTTAAATAATGATGTTTATTTAGCAGGGTGCTCTTTCATTCAACAAATATGAACACATCTTTTCCGAGTCCACCCCCTTCTTGATGCAAGGTAAAGGAGAAAGTCTTAAATTTTGAATCCATCCAGCAAAGCATGATGTAGACTGACCTGCTTTGGGGAGTGGTCAGCCACTCGAATAGGAGTGAATGCTTATATTTAAATAGTGTTTCATCATCTCCTCCCAGCATTTGGATATAAAATTCCTGATGTGACTCCTTTGTGACCTCTGTCTTTCCTTTCTCTTTGCTGGCGATATCCTGGCCTCTTTCCATTCCTTGCCCACTTCTCTCCAAGAAGGGTGCTATCTGATCGGTGGTATCAAAGAAGGAACTGAGCACGCTCAATACAACTTCATCCTCTCTTTAGAAGCCAGTCTGCCTGCAGGAAGCCCCCATTCTCTGACCATGATGTGATGAGCTTGGGGGGAAGCTGGTTATTTGGGGGAGTATCCACTCCTTTGCAAACACATCTGAGCCACATTCTCCAATCTAGTTTTCATCAATATTAAAGCTGACATTTGGTGTCTATATGGCTCACCCACACATCCAGTTGTTTTTGTTTCCAAACTTGTGCAAGGAGGAGGGGTGTGATGTCTTGAACTCCTTAGAGTCCCAATAATTCTCTGCTGATTGACAGGTTGATTTCATTTTGCGATAAAGCACATCAGAGAGCATAGAAGAAACTCCTTCAAAAGGCACATTCTGTCAGGGAAACTGGGAAATTGTTTGAGCTTCACATTTAAAATAAGAGTATTTAGCAGCATATGGTTTTGGAAGTGAATTTTTATTACTTTAGGTAGCTTGAATATTTAATTATATCTGTCATTAATACTTCATAGAAATGCAAATCTGTATCTTTTCCCAGGAGTTCTTTTAGACAAGGATGAAAGCCCCCTTTAGAAACACATTCTCATGGTGCTGGAATTAACAAATTAAGTTTTCCAAAGACGAAAGAAAAAGGTTGTTAAAGAATTTTTCTATTCTTAATTTCACTGTCTAGGCTGTTTTTGCAGTATGTACAAAAGGCTTTACACTTTCCCCCATTTTAGGAATAACTTTGCATAAATAGGGCTTCCCTTGTGGCTCAACTGGTAAAGAATCCTCCTGCAATGCGGGAGACCTGGGTTCAATCCCTGGGCTGGGAAGATCCCCTGGAGAAGGGAAAGGCTACCCACTCCAGTATTCTGGCCTGGAGAATTCCATGGACTGTATAGTTCATGGGGTCGCAAAGAGTCGGACACGACTGAGAGACTTTGACTTTTCCATAAATAAATATCCCTCCTGGGCCCCTCACTGTACCCCGAGTGTCTCCAGGGGACGAGACCTGACAGCTTACCGGGGCCATTACATGTCCAAAGTGGGGAAGATCGAAGTCACATGGAGGAAGCGTGAAAATTTAGCGCATGGCAGGTGTGTCATGGGGGGACCTTTCAACCTTTTCTTGTTCATCTCCCACCACTCATGTTTTTCCTTTTTAAGAACTGTAATAGGCTTTCCATAGCTCCCTTTCTATTGCCTCCAGAGAAGCTACCTACTTTCACCTGGCAGTGAGGGTCTCTGTACTGTGGTTTCTGTCTGACCTCTATGTCCTTCTCTTCCACTTTTTCCTTTGTTGTTCTTCCTTCTCCAGGTCCTGTGGCCAGGACCGCCTCTCCAAGAAGCCTTTGAAGTTTTCCCCAGCAGAATTCTCTTTTCCAGCCAACAACACCCAAAGTGGACTATTTGCTTCTTTGGGGCATTTTTTCCCTCCTCCTTGTGGCAGAGTTTTTTTCTGAAGGACAGATCATAACAGGCAAAATCTGAGCCTTTCAAGCTGGGGCTTGCTCTCCTCTGAAGGACACACAGTGGGGACAGGAAAATTGTGCAGATGTGGGAGAACCCAGGGCATCATCTTCTGCCAGCCTCTACATCATGGAAATATGCCAACTACTTTAAAACCTCTAAATACAAACATGTGACTCTTAAAAATAGGTTACATGACAGAAAAAAATGTTTCACAAACTTTTTTTTTCAATTTTTTTTTTTTGGTGGTAAAATATGCATAACATGAAATGTACCATCTTAACCATTTTCTCAGTGTCCAGTTCAGTGGCATTAAGTACATTGACATTGTGCACAACTATTGACACCATCCATCCCCAGAAATTTTTTGTCTTCCCAAAATGAAACTCTGTCCCCATTAACCACTAACTCTCACCGCTCCTCTCGCCAGCCTTTGGCAACCACCATCCTTGTTCTGACCCTATGAATTTGACTGTTCTAGGAGACTCATATAAGCAGAATCCTATGGGATTCATGCATTTGTGACTGGTTGATTTCACTGAGCATAATGTCATCCACGTTGTAGCATCTGCCTGAATTTACTTCCTTTTCAAGGCTGCATAATATTCCATCATGTAGATAAGGACCCCGTTCTGTTTATCCATCCATCTGTTGAGGGGCACTTGGGTTGCTTTGACTTTAGGCTACTGGGAATATAATTCCACAAACTGTTAAAGGTGAAATTAAAGGCTTCATCAAGATATGGTGCTTATGCAGGCTACTTTGGGGGTTGTGCTTTAGCTTCCTAGGCAGGGGAGAGGGGTGTATACTTACCCTTAGGGGCTCAAGTGGTGAAATCGGAGAGTTGAGTTGCGTGAGCTCAGTCGTGTCCGACTCTTTTCAACCCCATGGCCTGTAACTCACCAGGCTCCTCTATCATGGAATTCTCCAGGCAAGAATACTGGAATGGGTTTCCGTTTCCTCCTCCAGGGGATTTTCCTGACCCAAGGATCAAATCTGGGTCTCCTATGTTGCAAGCAGATTCTTTACCATCTATTAGACTTTGTTGTTCCCTGTAGCAGGTTTTCTAGAGAAAGTGTAAGAGGTAATGATGTGGAGAAAGTATAGAGGCGCTGGAATGAACAAACTATTAATACTTAGTTGAGTGAAGGATTCTTTCATTTAGAATTTCTTCTGAGCCCTTAAGGTGCTAAGGCCCTCCCCCAGAGGAGCTTTGTTCTGCTGGGGTAAACAGTATGGTGCCAACTGGAAAGAGGAGCTTGAGAGATGAAGGAAACACAGAGAAGGGGCAATAGGTATGCAAAGTGAGGATGCTCCAAAGTGGCTCCTTGGGAGCCAGAGATGCAGAGAACAAACAGGAGATTTTCGGGAGCATGAGGATACACGGCATTTGAATCATAGCAAAGTTTGGATTTGTAGATGCAAGGAGCCTGGTGGGCAGAGCATGAGCCATCACGGGTATGAAGTCCAGATGTGGGGTGGGGATGGCAGAACAGACCAGCTGTACCTTAGCCTGGATGGGGGTGCGAAGGGCTTGGAGACCTTGTTAGGAAGACTGAACTTTCATCCTGTCGGATGGGGAAGCTTAAAAGATTTTGCCCTGGAGAGCAACACAGTTCAGTTTTCCTCCAAGAATGATAAATGTGGAATGAACAGCTAGATTCCGAAAGCCCCGCAGTGAGCATCTTTATAAGCGGAGGTGCCCATGCTGTCTTAAGATGCACGCTGAGATTCCAGTACTGATGTTTTTAACTCTTGAGACCTTCCTCAGAGTCCCGACTGGATGACTGGCTGCCTACCTGCAGTGATACAAATACCACTGATACAGGCTGCTCTCTGTAAACCACACGTTCTGTCCTCTGCCCTCCCCTTACTCACGGCTCTCTGGTCTCTGGCTGGCCCCTCCCAGGTCCGAGGAGAGTTGCTTCGGGAGAGAGTGCAGCAGCTGGAAGCCCAAGAGGGACGCTTTGCCGAGTCCCTCGTCTCCCTGCAGTTCCAGAAGGCGGCCAGGATGGCCAGGACCCTGTGGGCGTACACCGCCCTTCTGAGCATCCAGGACCTGCTTCTGGAGGAGCTGAGCGCATCAGAGACCCTGACCAAGTCAGCCTGCATGCAGATCCTGGAGTCACACAGCCCGGTGAGTGCAGGACCCGGGAAGGAAAGGATGCCCACTACACCGCATCCCTCAGTGGTTCTTTCTGGTGGCTGCCTCCATCTCTCCCACCATCGGATGGGTGGTGTGCCGTCCTGTCTCTGCCGAGGGGTCCTGCGGGGGGCTGAGTGAGGTAACTTACATGGGAGCCCGGTGCACTGTTGCTGCCCAAGGCTCCTCTATTTCGTTGCCTTCAGGAAGCAAACCTTTTAAATGTTAGCATTTTTAACATCTGGCAACCTGGGATTCCTCTTGCAGCCAGCAGCTGTTTGTTTCTTTGACAGTGCCATGAAAAGTAGAGAGAGAAATGCCAACCCACCCCAGTATTCTTGCCTCGAGAATCCCATGGACAGAGAAGCCTGGCAGGTTCCCAGTCCATGGGATTGCAAGAGTCGAACATGACTTAGCGACTAAACCACCACCACCATGAAAAGTAGCCATGTAGCTTTCAATGAGGGCTTCCCAGGCGGCACCAGGGGTATAGAACCCACCTGCCAATGCAGGCGATATAAGAGATGCATGTTGGATCCCTGGGTTGGGAAGATCCCCTGGAGGAGGGCATGGCAACCCACTCCACTGTTCTTGTCTGGAGAATCCCATGGACAGAGCAGCCTGGTGGGCTACAGTCCATGGGCTCGCAAAGCGTCAGACATGCCTGAAGCAACTTAGCACCGTTTTCAGTGAAGGGCGCCTTAGATGTTATGAAGTATTGGATTTGTTTTTATTTTCAAAATTTTAATTATTACCATTATTTCTACATGCTGCATGTTTTCAAGGTGTGGGAGGTATATTCATAACACAAAAGCTAGTGACATAACTGCTTTGAGGAGTAATTTTAGTTCCCGTGTGTGTAATTTTAGAATTTTGTGTATTATTATAATAGTCACCTAAATGGAACTCACATTTATTGAGTGCCGTGTGTGTGGCAGGTGAGCACTAATGAGCTGTGTGAAATGGGCATGCTCTCATTTAAGCATTAATAATGTGCTACTCCATCATGCGTCTTAAGACACTCATTTAAGCATGATTAATAATAAGTTGCAATTTTATGCCTCTTTGCAATTATGTTCTTTGTCAGACATTATGTCAGTTAATCATTGAGCCATGCTGTGAATCTGGTAGTGTTTCTGTGCCCAATTCTCAAGTAAAGAAATGAGATTCGGGCAAGTGGCAGGTCAAGCTTTTTCCAAGGTTTTTCCAAGTTTTTCCGAGGTCCACAGAGCTAGTAAGTGAAATCTGTTCTTTTCTGACTTTAGCCCCTGGGTCATGTCCACAGTTGATCCTGTCGATGGAGGTTCCCATTTCTTTATAGAAAATCATAAATAACATTAGACTCTGAAGCATGTGTGCTTGGTCGCTCTGTCGTGTTGGACTCTGTGTAACCCCATGGACTATACCCCACCAGGCTCCTCTGTCCATGGGATCTCCCAGACAAGAATACTGGAGTGGGTTGCCATTTCCTTCTCCAGGGGATCTTCCCATCCCAGGGATCGAAGCTGCATCTCTGCGTCTCCCACATTGGCAGGCAGATTCTTCACTGCTTTGCCACCTGGGAAGCCCAGATTCTGAAGAGTCCAGGCTATTTTTCCAGCAAATATAGTGCACCCCGCACTTGGACACCTGCTTGTAGGGATAGGAAGCAAGGGGAGACTTTGTGGGTATCCCGGCACAAAACATCCGGACACTGGATAAATAAAAATAAATGTACTTTTTCTTGCTTTGTGAGTTCACAGTAGGGTGAGGAAAATTCCCAAGGGATGAGGATAGCTTGGAAAAATCTGAACTCAACAGAAAGAGATGTATGCAAACCCAGAGGCTGAAATCCAAAAGCAAATGGAGAAAACCAGGACTTCCAGGGCTTGGGGGGTTAATTTGAAGGACCAGGAGGTGGGGCTATGGGGTGTCCTGAGGCGTAGAGCAACCGGTGGGGTTGGTGCAGAGGGTGGGTGGTGGGGGAAGCCGCTTGTGCTCAAAGGAGCCCCCAGGATCCTCTGTCCATCTCCAGCCCTGCCAGGGTTGAGGGAGGGGAGTCCCCTCTGTGAGTTTGTCATCAAAGGTTTCTGCTAACAGAGCAAAGGAATCCAAAAATACTTTAGCCATTCAGTCAGAAGATCTCCAAGGTGATGAATTAAATTAAATTAGATATGCAAATATCTGGCATGATTGACCATTTAAAAAAGAGATAATGAAGTAATATCAGGAGTATAAAAGGCAACATGACAATAGATGCCCTAGAGTTTTTAAAAATAAGAGAATTCTATGAACAATAATTTTATGTAGGTGAATTTCAACATTTCTAAAAAATTATAGCTCGCCAACATTGGCTCAAGTAGAAAAAACTCTCTATAGTCCTGTTACCATGAAAGAAATTGATTCAGTAGTTTCAGAATCTTCTGACACACACAAAAATATCTGACCTTGATAGTTTTATAGGCAAACTCCACCAAACCTTAAGATAACAAAATTTTCCAATCTCATATGCAGATCATTTGGATATTAAAAAAAGTAGGGAATATTCCTCATTTCATGAAGCTCAGAAAACCTTGACCCCAAAACCAGGCATGACTAGTATGAGAAAGAATAATTACAGTTTATTCTTACCTATGAGCCTAGATGTACAATTCATAAACAAAATATTAATGAATAAGCCAATCATCTATAAAAAGATACAGCACAACCAGTATGAGTTTTTCCCAGGAATGTAAGGTTGGTTTAACACTAAAACATGTCTGGACAAAATTCATCAGATTAACAGATTAAAGAAACACAACTCCTGTGATCATTTTGGTATGAACAGAACGGGTATTTTATTGAATTCAGCGCCCATCCGATGTAAGACTCCTTAGCAAGTTAGTAATAGGAGGAAATCCTGCAAGATGTTTACCCAAAACACACAGGGAGCATGACTGCTAGGTGATTGGCATGGAGGCAAGGCCACTGCCTGGAATTACAGGTGAAGGAGGTGAGGTCCTCAGAGGAGGGGCAGGACCATGGTCATGCGTCAAGCAAGTTAGGGACAAAGACAGACACTAGGAGCCTCTGGCTTTCGATTCCCGATTCATCTCTTCATTATAAACGCTCTGAGAAACACCTCAATTCAACCCTAAGAGACCTAATGGCCCTTTTTACTTGCAGCAACCCTCGTTCCTACTAGTAATCGGGGAGCACAACACTTACATTTTCAATTTTATGTTAAAGCCCTTTTGAGTGACATCAAAGCTTCCTTATTCTCGAATGTGCTTGAAGTAGAAGAGTTAACATGTCCTGAATTAGAAGCAACTAATAAAACTATGGATACAATGCCAGGTTTTTTTAATTTTAATGAAGATTTATATTTGGAGGGAAGATAAACCTATCATTTCACACTTGATATTAGACTCTCATTCTGCAATTTGATCATTCTGGGAAAACTACTTTCCCGTTGGGAATGGGCTTTTAAGCTGTTACACATTCAGAATTTTAAAAGCATGAAATGAAATGCTTTGGAGGCAGTAACTCCTGAGAAACCTGTGTCAGGCTCCCCTCATTTGATGAAGCGTTTAGACCCATTTTGTGAAACTGGACCACAGAAAGGACATAATTGAATCGTGGGGTTGAATGGCAATCATGGGCAGCTTTAAATGTGATGGTCTTACTCATAACACATCATGTGACCCCAGGCTAACTGCACCCGCTGTATTTAATCCACAGTTTATGCTGCTTCGTGTGTATCTACTTTCCCAAGCCTGGACTGGACGTCTTCCTTTTCCGTCCTCTGCCTTGCTGCCCACTCACCACCAGTCACTCAGGCTGTCAATTCTGCCTTAGTTTTCTCACTTTTGACCTTTGCCACCCAGCTTCGCTACTCAGGCAAATCTAGACCTGAAAACAAAAAAATCACACCAGGAGTAGCTCTCTTCAGGTCCAGGGCATCGTGTTAAGTGTGTAAACCTTCTGTCAGCCCCGGGATGTTTTTATTCCCATTCTGCAGATGGAGTTGAGGCTTAGGACTGTTGACTCATTTTACCACGGTCCCAGAGCTGGAAATCAAAGCCCATACCTCCTGCTTTGAAAGCCCAGTTCCTGTTCTCACACCAATTTCCACCTGCCTCCTTCTTTCCCTACTGCAGTCTCCTCCACCCTTCAGCCAAAGGAGCATATCTGAAAAATAAAAATAATTAGTGACAGCCCCATTCCCAGCTCCATATTTTAATACCTCCCCTCTACCCCTCCCTCCCTCAGACCCTGCATTTTACCCCTTGCACCTTCCTGAGCACTGGAGATACATTCAGGCCTCAGTTCCTTTGAAGGACCTCTGTCTAGAATGCTTCTGCTGCCCACCCTACAAACTCCTCTCTGGCAGCTACAACAAGCCAAATGTTGCCTCTTCTGGGAAGCCATCCATGATTCCCTTGGGCAGAGTTGATTTCTCCCAGCTCTGTGCTCAAGTCATCCTCCATCTAGATTCCCTAAGGTGACTGTTACCTGTCACTGTATCTGTGTTTACACAACTGTCTCCCACACTAGACCGTGAGTTTCCCGAGTCTAGGGGCTATGTCTCATTCATCCCAGAATCCCTCATGCCCAGTAAATGGCCTGGAACTATCTTCATCATCATCTACCCATCTGTCCATCCATTCGTTCATTCAACAGATGTCTACAGAGTGCTTTCCAGAGACAATGGGAGCAAGAGATAGGGCCCCGAGTTAGAGAAACCTAAAGTTACTCCTCTCTCAGGCTCTTGGGACTTCACATGTCCTTACACTCTCTGCTCCTTAGCTAACTTATTTATAAAATAGGGTATTAACAAATTCCTAGTTTGTGCTGGTTTATGAAGATCAAATACATTAATTCATGTAAAGATACCATGAGTCGAATCTAGCACAGTGTGGAAGTTCGGTGCATGCTAATTGCCATTATCATTATTAATAGTAAGATGATGCTGATGACTGTGACTCCTTCCATAGGCCAGGTGCCTGCTCTCTGTTGGGAGGCTGCTCCTGCTATTTAGTCACTCAGTCGTGTCCAGCTCTTGCGACTCCATGAATTGTAGCCCGCCAGGCTCCTTTGTCCATGATTTCTCTGGGCAAGAATACTAGCGTGGGTTGCCATTTCCTTCTCCAGGGGATCTTCCTAACCTAGAGATCCAATCCAGGTTTCCTGCTTGGCAGGCAGATACTTTACAGCTGAGCCCCCTGGGAAGCCTACTCCCTGCTGGGGAGAGGGATGAACAAGACAGTCCCAGAGTCCCTGCCTCAGCATTGAAACTCTAGTGAAGAGAGCAGATTCTAGATTCCATTCTAGAACCACATCTTGGATTCCAGTAGTGCTAACTGGCAGGGGTTTGGGGGTAGGACTGACCCCTGGGAGAACCTGCCATCAGGAACTTAGAACCTGCAGGATATGTTTGTTCCCAACTGGGGTTCACCTGATCTTGGAAAATCAAAGTGTGACACGCCAGCTTTCTGTGCTCTGCCTGTTTCAGGGACACTAGCAGGTGTGGGTTTGTCCCTTCCTTCCCCATGCAGTGGGCTGGGGCTGGCACCTCAATGGAAGCCTGGTCTGTGACCAGCTCCAGACACGCTGACAGAACATGGGGGTGGGAACTCATTAGTGCTGTTGGAAATGCTGTGTTTGGTTATGTTTCCATTTGGGATGCCAGAAGCCCATACTCAGAGCATCCCAAACTCCTCACAGCACTGGAGACAAAACCTACATGCTCTCCATGCTATGACCTCAGTTTACCTCTCTGGCCATTTTCTCCATGTCTTGATTTTTGAGTAACGTTTCTAAGACTCTGATGCAAGCTTTAGCGCCTCTGCAGAAAGGCAGATTGCAGGATCAAGGACCACCATCACCTGATGAAGTCTATCCAAGGCCTCTTAGGATCAAACCCCACCCACACCCCACCCCCAGGTGGAACACTGGCCAATCTGATGACAATGGTTTCAATGACTAACCCCTAAAGCCCACCTCCCTGCCCACCCTCTCTTCCCTGCATAAACAGACTGTGCATAGTCTCTTGTACCCAGATTCTCTGACTCTGATGGCCTCAGGCTGCAAATTTCTTGTTTGACCGGTGAGAGACAGTATAGCTTGGGGATTAGAGCACAAACCAAATTGTGGAGCCAGCTGACCTGGTACCATATTCTCGTTCTGCCACTTAAGATTCATGGGCGTGTGTGCTGAGTCCCTTCAGTCATGTCCAACTCTTTATAACCCTATGAACTGCAGCCCTCCAGGTTCCTCTGTCCATGGGATTCTCCAGACAAGAATACTGGAGTGGGTTGCCATTTTCTCCTCCAGGGGATCTTCCCAATTTAGGGATGGAACCTGTATCTCTTGCATCTCTTGCATTGGTAGGCAGGTTCTTTACCACTAGTGCCTCCTGGGAAGCCCTACTAACCCCTAAAGCCCACACCTCTACACCTCCAGGCACCCTCTCACTGAGGATTAGGGATCCAGCATATGGATTTAAGGGACCACAAGTGTTCATTCAGTCTGTAACAGGAAAATACTAGGGGTAGTGTGTGGTCAGTTGAGGAGGGGGTATCTGTATCTCCCAAGGAACTTAGGGAGCCTGTAGTAAGCCCCTGGCAGCTTCTGATTAATGAGGCAGCCATTTCAAAAACATCTGTCTCAATAAACAGATTGCCAACTAAAGTAGATAAAAGCAGACTGCCCTGCCCATGAAGCTCCTGTTTCTGGGGAGCTCTGGTTGACCTACACACCTGACCTCTTGAGACCCTGATTTGCCCTCTTTGCACCCTAATTCCTGCTTTCTCAAGTTCCCAACAGAAAGAGAACCAGTGACCCCTAGGCACCCCACCTTTGACCCACAAAAAGGCAGAGCACCCGGGCCACGTTCTTTTTCTCTACTTGTGATGCTGTTGTGCCGTGGGTACAGGTGTGCCGTGTACCCTCGAGGGCGTGTTCCTTGTTTTTTCAAGGTCCTTGATGGTTGTGGCTGAGGTGTTGTCCCCGTGCGCAGGCACAAGCTGCTAATTTCATAACATGCTTTTCTCTTCCCTGACATCTTTCTATCCTTCATTTTCTAGTGTCTGCTTAATATTTAATTTCTACTGAATGTTTAATACTGAAGATAATATTTTTCAGCTTTTTATTTTGAAATAATTATAGATTCACAAGAAGTTGCAAAAATAGTCATAAGAATCACAAGAACAGGTCCAACCTTAGCATCAGCCCATCAGGGAAATGTCTCTGGGGGCTGCCTCAGGGAGTGTGGACCCAGGTGAGGACCCCCAGGCAGCTCCAGTCAGTAGCATCATGGACTATGTCTGAGACCAACACAAAGCAGTTCCCCCAAGGAGGTTCTTCTAAAGCCAGTCCTTGAAAGGAGACTCAGAATTGGCCAGGAAAACAGGGAAAAGGCCTGCAGGTAGGGGCGCAGCATGTGCAAAGGCACGAGATGTGAGAGACCCGAATGCAGTCTCATTATGCTATTTGCACAACTGGCTGGTAGGGGAGTGGACAGTGATGGAGATCACATGTCCACCCATGGCTGATTCATGTCAATGTATGGCAAAAACCACTACAATATTGTAAAGTAATTACCCTCCAACTAAAATAAATAAATTAATTAAAAAGAAGAAAAAAAAGAGGAGGTCCTGCCAGGCTTGCAGCGCCGAGCCGAGAGGGGTGGATTTTATCCTGCAGCCTCCCGCCTTGTGCTCAGTACCTGCCCCTCTGTGTGCAGGAGCTCCAGGAGCTGGAGAGGAAGCTGGAGGACCGGCTGGCACACCAGGAGGCGGCCCAGCTGCAGCGGGCCCTGGACAGTCGGCAGCAGTGGGCGGGCGAAGGACCTGGGCTTCTGCAGGAGCCGGAGGAGACAGATTCTGAAAGGCAGGTCTCTGCTGTCCTGCGGCGAGCCCTGAGCAAGGGTCAGAAGCTACTGGAGCATCACCAGCAGAGGTGAGCTGAGGACCCAGTGTATGACATCTTTTTTATGCATCCATCTGTGGATGGACACTTACATTGCTTCCATATCTTGGCTTATTGTAAATAGTGTTGCAGTGAACACAGGGGTACATATATCTTTTGGAAAACATAATTTTTAACAGCTTCATAATTTTCCACTGTGAAGGACAGGGTAAAAACTATAATACATAGCATGACTCTATTTTTGAAAACACAAATTCATTGAAAGAAAATAGGCCAGACTGTAATAGATGTGATTTCTGTGTGGTGAGATTATAGGTGACTTTAATGTGTTTGATCATGTTTTTCTGTGTAAACACAGCATCAAAGCGCATTTCTGTTCCATTGAAATAATTGCATAAGAGGCTGAATCTGTTTGATCAGAGGAAAATGCTCAGAGATGTTGACTTGACTTGGACTTGATTGTGGATTTTAGGATATTTAACACCCTAATGTATTCCATGCTTCATGAAGAGAATTGCTGATGATCAAGCTTTTTGTATGAGTTGTACCCTCAAAGGGTTTAGATTGTATTAACCAGCAAGAAGGCAGGATGGATAACTCAGGATACCAACTTTAATTGGCTGAGGGGATAAACTGGGAAGACCCCCTTCCTTCCCCCTGGGAAGTCAAGAAGCTTGATGGAGACCTCATGTGATAAGGTGCTACCCAGCTTTTGTGGTCAGAGCCAGGTCCATCCTTGGGATATGATTCTGGGCCCATGTCAACACAGGAGCACTTGATGGATGAAGACACCAGACCTGGTGTTCTTGAGCACCAGGCATGGCAGCTAATACTGAGAGTTTTCACATTAGGATCACCGTTGGAGGTCAGAGGGAACAAAAAGTGCCCACTGTACTGAGCAGGCATCTTGAGGCTGAAAAACAAGGCAGGCAGCTCCATTTCAACAATGGATCCGTTTATCTAGGGTGACTTACTCACATAGTGGGGTCAGGCGGACAACAGCCCAGAAGCCTCACAGCTTCACTCTAAACCGAGGGGCCACTATAATTAACCTAGGGTATGGGCTAGGTGCTTGGAAATGGGACGTGCGTTCCTAAGTCAAAATTTATGAATGGGTAACTAGTCCCATGGATGCCAGGAATACTTAAGGGAAGGTTTTCATCCTTGTCTAGGGAATAACAGAGCACAGAGAATACCTGACCCTAATGATTATTAAATAATATCTATTAACTACAAAGCCCTTTGACAACAGAGAAGTGATTCATTGCACAGTCCTGGGTGGGTCAGCAGAAGGACAGGAAAGACTGCAAGGACCCAAGATGACATCAGTTATGCTAATAGCCATGCAGAGCACAGGCTGCCCTGCAAAGCCACAGAATAGTCTCCATACGGTTCCCACAAAAATTCTCACTTGAAAGAGCCCTCCATCCTGGTGAGCAGTCCCGGATTCATTTATTTACAAGATAATCTAGCTAAAAAGAGGCCAGCTTCTTCTGGCTGTCTCTTTTGATGGATTTTTTTTTAAATCATGCAGATTAGGTTTGTGATACTTTGTTATTTAACCAACTAGACAATCTTCTCATAGGATCACTTTATAACAACACTGAACTGATGGAGATTTTGTTTTCACCCTAGTTTGAGAGAGGAGCAAGAAGACAGTGTTGTGCTGGAAGATTTGCTGGAGAATATGGAGACTGACACCTTTGTGACCCTATACGGCCAGGTGAGAACAAGTTCACTGTGTCCTGGGGTCCATCCCTTGCCAGCCCATAACTTGACATTTTTCTCAGAGTCCATGTTTCCTCACCTGCAGGACACAGATGGTAACAGGAACCTAGAGAACCGCTAAGAGGATTTGTGAAAAGGCCTGGCCCAGGGCCAGCACCTAGGGGACATTCAGTCAGGGTCACAGCAGCAACAGAAACAATAGTAATCACCACCCTGGTCAGTTTCTTTTCTGTGGTTAGACAGGCACCCAACCTGTCTTCTTCTCAGACTTAAATAGGTTTAATATACACAGAGTAGGTTCCACCAGGAACAAAGTTGGTCATTGAAATCTGGGCCATATAAGGAGAATGCTGAGATTGCACACCACGTTTCAACTTATCTTTGTTGGGGTTAGGTAGCCTCATTCTTGGCCAGAGCTGCAGCGCTCACCAGCATTCCTGAGACAGAGCGCGAGGCTGTGCTCACGGAGTCACATGCAGAGTTACATAACTCCACCAGTGGTGTTTTATGTGCATTCCAAGGTGGGATTCCTGGTTTCTCGAGTCTCAGCAAATGTGATTTGTGACAGTGGCTTATGCCAGTCACAGGCCATTGGGAGGTAGGTGTTGCTGACCTTGCTTCAGTTCAATGATGTCACTGTTACACTCTGATTCTTCCCACCTCTCCTTGAAGTTCCAGCTTCCGTGTCTGTGTTCACGTGAAGAGTGTAAAGGTAGAACACAATCACTCTGCTGTCTTTTCTTTCTAAGAAAGTACATGCCACCAAGTCTCTGAAGCAAATTATACTCATGTCCTGAGAAGACCCGACCCATGGATCCCTGGTTGCAAGGGGGGCTGCAAATTCAACACTTCCTTTTCCACCTCCAAAGAGAGCTGGCAGGGCGAAGGGGTAGGGACACTTTCAGGTGTCCAGCTGGCAGAACTGGCCACAACTTGTCCACAGGCACACACATTTTCTCACTTGTATTAGTTTCCTTTTGCTGCTGTAACAAATTACTACCAATTTAGTGGCTTAACAGAACACAAATTTATTATCTTCTTGTTCTGTGGGTCAGAAGTCCTGCATGGGTTTTGCCAGACTAAAATCAAAGTGTCAACAGGTCTATACTCCTTCTAAGGATCTGGGAGGATCTATCTCCTCCTCATTCAAGTAATTGTCAGAATTTGGTTCATCATGGTTGTAGGATTGAGGTTTTCATTTCCTTGCTAGCTGTCAGCTGACGGCTGTTACCAGTTTCTAGAGGCATTTGAATTTCATAGTTCATGGCTCCCTTCTTTCATCTTCAAACTCAACAAATCACATCTTATTGATGCTTCTTCCATTGTCATCACATCTCTCTCTAACCTACCACAGCAGGAAAAGTTCTGTGCTTTTAAGGACCCAGGTGATGATGAGGTTGGACTCATCTGGATAATCAGTCTAGGCTTCATCATTAAGCTTCATCACAAAGTCCCTTGCCATGTAAAATGACATATTCCCAGGTTCTGGGCTGGTACATGAACACCTTCGAGGCCATTATTCTGCCAGTCACACCAGACAGGAAACCAAGGTTAAGCATCAAAGTCAGTAGTAAATCTAACATGCTCCTTCCTCTTTGACATGAGAGCTGACCTGGGCTTTCTTGCTATTTATAGCAAGAGAGGAGTACCCACCCATGGCAGGACTCAGGAGAGTACTTGCCACTCATCTCACTGTCAGGCCATTCTACCATCATCTCCTTATAGACAGGTCCTCCAGAGGGGACATTATTGCCCAAGTTCACATTGAGGAGCCCAGTGGAGCTAGGATTGGAGTTCACATTCTTCTACTCCATGTCTCTTAGCCTGAGCTCCAGACTGGGAGTGGGGGAGAAAGTGGAAGTTTCCAGAACACCTGTTGTGCATTGAGTATCATCCTAGGCACTCATATCAGTTATTCATTTAATCCCTGCAGAAAGCTGGGAATCAGGGACTATCTTCTCTATTTTGCAAATAGAGGAACCAAGGTACAAATGGGTGGCTTAGTGTTCCAGGGCTCACCATCCTCCTTGAAGTTCAGGACTTGGCCTGAGGTTGGTGACTTACATGGGATGTGCTCTTCCTGCTCTGTTGCCCTGCAGAGCACATGCTGCTCCTGGCCTGGGTCTCTGTGGGAAATGAGCCATCTCCCATGCTCACTGTGATTCCCCATCTTCTTTGTTACTAGGAGACTTGACAGATGGCCAAACTCTCCCATGTAGAATATCATCCAGGTTCATCCCTAATTTGTTGCCTCTTTTAAACTGTTTAAACTTTTAAACTGTGACCTGTTGGCAAGGCTAAAGAACTGGCCCTGTCAGGAGTGAAATGCTGCTTGGATGGAAGCCTTGAGCAGCAGGAATCATTTAGGAGGGTGACTTTTCTCTGCACCGACCCTCCCAATCCTGTGCCTTGTAGAATCCCCCAGAAATGTCTACTCAACTTCATTTCTTTCTTTCCAGCCCTTGTGTATTAGTGAGGGTCTTCCAGAGAAACAGAAGCACAAAGACTTGGGAAGAGAGGGAGAAAGAGGTTTACTTTAAAGAATTAGCATAGTGATTGTGGAGACTGGCAAGTCCAAATAGGCTAGCAATATAGAAGAGCAGGCTGGAGACCAGGGAAGAGCCAGTGTCGCAGTTCAAGTTCAAAGGCCCACTATTGGCAGAATTCCCCCGGCCCAGCGGTCAGTCTTTGTTCTGTTCAGGCCTTTACCTGATTAGATGGAGCTCACCCACACTGTGGAGGGCAATCTGTTTTAAGTCCACTGACTCACGTGTTAATCTCATTCAAAAGCTACTCCACAGATATATCCGAAATTATGTTTGTCCATATAAATCTTGGCACTGTGGCCCAGACAAGTTGGCCTATAAAATTAACCATCACTCCCTATGTAGAGGAGTCCTGTATTTTGCCTGTTTCTTTGTACCAGGCAAGAGAATTACCAGGGAAACCCCATCCCACCCCCATTCTTTCTCCTACTTCTTCTAATTACTCCTCCCCCTCCTCCTCCTCTTCCTTCGTCTCCTTCTTTTTCTTCTTTCCCCTGCAATCTCTGTCTTTCTTTCCCTCTCCCTCCCCAACCCTCCCCTGCCTCTGTGTGTCTTTTGTTTTATTTCCTGCTTATTACACTGCCTTAGGGACAGCATGTTTCAATTACAAACTTTGCATGAAGGATCATTTCCACATGAGCACCCATGTTTTCATATTTATGCAACTTTGCCAGCTCCTCCTCCTTTGCATATTTATGACAACATCAAAATAGCACTCAAATGTCTGCTCTGTGCTAGACACATCACACTTCATCCCAGTTAATGCTCACTGTTGCTCTGGGGGCCCTGGCAGTGGGAAGAGCCTCCCCCAGCCACTGCTGCAAATCCATCACTCCTTCTGTGATGGCAGTGATACCAACAGCAGTGGATATCAGCCCAGTGTTGAGGAGAGGCATGGAGATGATCATCACTGGACAGATGAAGAAACTGAGGGTCAGCGAGGTGATGTGACTTAGCCAAGATCCCACAGCCAGTCAGTGCTGGAGCTGGTTTTAAATCAGTTTCTCCTCCTTTAAAGGTGCTATTCATTTCATGCCACTGCACCATTCCCTTTGAAGCAAAATATTTCCTAGTTGTTTCATGAATAAAATGGGAAGGGGGAGCTCATTTTAAAATGAATGGTGCTAACTCAGCAAGGCAGAAAATTTCCCTGTGCTGTGGGAAGAGGTTGGGACCCCACCTGTGGTCCTCACTGAAATTATCTCCTTTACTCCCTCAAGACTCCAGCATGACTTGTAGACAGTAGAGTGGAATTCTTTTTTAACCACATAAAGGATGACTTAGAGTCAGCTTAACATCTGCTGAAGAGGCTTTTTTCTTGAATAAATATTGACTGTGCTCCTAATAAGTGGCAAGTACTATCCTAGGCCCTGGGACTTTAGCAGTAAAGTAAACAGATGAAGACCAGGCTCTCAGGAACTGGTATTCTAGTGGAGAGAGCTGGCAAGCAACAAAATAGATGCATAAAATATATATTATTTTATGTGGATTATGATCTCTTTTTTATAGCTATGTCCATCCATCCATCCATCTGTCCATCACTCAATCTGTTTGTATCTCCATTCATCTATTGCTTTGTCCACCCATCCATCCATCTATCCATTCATCCATCAATCTACCTCTGTCTTTCCATCTATTCACCAGCCATGTCTGCACCCATCCCTCTGTTCATCTGTCCATTTGTCATCATCTATCCATCTACTGTCCATAATCCATTTATCCATTCATCCATCTATCCATCTGTTTAACCCATCCATCCATCCATTCATCTATTTACATGCATGCCTAGAAAGATTCCTAGAGTGTGCTTTGCCTAATGCTACCGATAATTATTTCTAGATAGTGGCACTTGGAATAATTAACAGCATTTTTGTGCTTTTCTGTATTATTTGAATTCCTTAAAATTAACAGGATTTCTTAAAAATCAAGACAAGGAAAAACTAAACAATGGAAATCCATGCCAAGTCCAGTGTTGGTTAAGCAGAACAGGAAAGAGGGACAAGTAGGGGCTGCTGGCAAGCCTGGTCTTTCTGCCGCTGTCTTCTGCATGGACAGCTGGTCCCCACATTGCAGTTCATTTCAGTTTATAAAAGTGGCTCCAGATGGTTAAAGTGATGTGGCCTACACAGATGCTTTTGCTGTCACCACCTTCAGGAAGACTTGACCCAGTTAACTGACCTGTATTGAGGATTATTAATCAGGAAATTTCAGAGCTAGAAGGGCCATGGAAGTGTGCTGGTGGGTCCCCACATTCACCAGTGGGGTCCCAGTGGGATCCTGGAGTCTTCTGCCTCAGGAAGAGGTGAGTCTGCATAGTGTTGATGAAGTCAAGGTTTATCCTTCATTTATTTAACACACATCTGTTGATGTCTTTCTCTGTGCCAGGAACCAGGTTAAATGCTGGAGATAGAGATGTGATACTGATGCCATCCTAAACCTCATTGGAGAG